AATTATAAGCACAACATTGGGATTTTATGATCTGTAACCAAATTCTATTTTCAGTTAGATATTTTGCCTCATTTCTGAAATAAAAACCTTCCAACAGCAGATACTCCTGGATGCCCAGGCCTTGCTGAGAAGTTGGTAGTATTGTTACTTCTTAATATCGGTTGGAGACTAACAGGAGAGCTGTTAGTCTCATCACACAATAGAAAAACTATCCCTGCTTTCAAGGGACATGGACAAGACCAAGGGCTGAGTAAGGAAAGGACACAAGTAATAGGACATAGGGGAATAAATAAAAGAAAAATTCATATCAGGCAAACACTAAATAAAATTGGTGTCATTTTTAAGTTAACTTCATGATGTCGATTTTTTTTTTTTAGAAATGAGAAGACTGGTAGGTAATGACAAGAGGCTAATTCAAAGAAATACTTTTAAATGTGTAATAGAATATTACATAGCAGCAAAATATCCTCAAACATTCAAAGGGAAGAAGAAACTGACAGATCCAAGAAGATGCTATTGATAAGCCCTGAGTGTAAGTGAGAATTTCAACACACTCAAACACTGAAAGGGCCATCCATCCAAACTAGCAATGGAAAAATGAAAGGTTTTTTTATTTGTATAAAATTAATTCAAGTTCATTTAGGATGCACCACCCATACAGCCATCTGTTTTCTCATTGGCCACGAAGATCAAAACAACAAACAACCCAAGACCAATGGGGAAAGAAAAGCGCTTAATCAGAGGGGGAAAAAAAAAATGCCAAAGACTGGGTTGCACAAACTAAACTCAAACCTCTTTGAGGCCACACATTGGCCACTTCCTGACCCTGACCGCACACTCACTAAAATGAAGACACACACCTCTAACCAGCCGGCCATCCTGGACTCCAACCTTAAGCCTCAGGATCATCCACAATTCGGACCCCACATGCTGCGATCTGAATGTGTCCTCCAAAGTTCGTGTGTGGGAAGATTAATCCTCAGTGCAACAGTGTTCAGAGGTGGGACCTTCCAGAGGTGATTCGGTTGCAAGGGCTCAGCCCTCATGGATGGATTAATGCCATGATCATGGGAATGGGTTAGTTATTACAGGTGTAGGTTCCTGATAAAAGGATGAGTTCAGCCCCTTTCCACACTCTCTCTCACATGCATGCACCCACCCCTGCCCTGATGCCTTCTACCAGGAAATAACACAGACCAAAGGCCCTTGTCAGATGATATAGGGCCCTTGACCTTGGACTTTCCAGCCTCCTAAACTGTAAGAAATAAATCTCTGTTCCTCATAGGTTACAGTTACTACCTCATAGTCTCGGGTATTCGGTTACAGCAGCCTCAAAACAGATTCAGACATTATGTAATTATCATTCCTATCACCAGCCGATATGCACAGACCCAGTTGGAATCTTACCCTATGTTCTAACCATCTTAAAGAAAAGAGAGGCAGAAGAAGAATGGACAGAGGTATTAACCTAAAACTACTCAACAGCTGCCATATTTCAACCCCTTAGGTTAAATGAATAATTAGCTAACTCTAGCTCTGTGTTTCTCATGAAATAAAGCCATACACACAGACATTCAAGGGTGACTAAAAATCCAACTTATGAACATAAAGATTATATATGGATACGAGGGGTGATAATACCTTTAAGCAAATCTTCCCTTGATTCATCTCCCAAATGACTTTCCTGGTGCCACCAATTTCCACCATTTCTCCATTTGATCTAGCACCAAGCTTGATGCCCATGCATCGTCCTGAAAAAAGCCAGATCCGTGCAAAAAGTACTGTTTCAATTTATATCCCCAAATATGGACTTAAGCTTCTGGGCACCAAATTAGACTCTTAGGCCATTTCTGCTAAATTTGATACAAGACATATAGCGTCTGCAAACACCCTCAGCGTGAGCAAATGAGGCCAGTGTTTGGGAAACAAAAGTACAGCACTCCCAAGTGTACGTGCTCAATAATTCTTAATTCTCCGCATGGATACCTCCTCCCCACCTACTCACTGATAAAAGTGAAACATGAGGGCAAAAGGCAGCCCTAAAGCCCATCTTTGGAGAATTTCTAGAGCCCTTCTTTCCCTAGGGACCCACCGTCCACACCTGCTCACAGGGTGGGGGCTGCAAAAGTTCTTCTAATTGAGGTACCATGAAGGGTACCAGGCGGTCCCCTGGGGTGTTTTTCGGGAAGTGAAACCTCCTGGTGAAGCAGAAACTTTTTTTTGTATCTCCTTTGGCTCTGGTCAGTTTATATCAAACCTAAATAATTGGAGCAAAACTCAAGGTAGCAGAAGCTACTGATTTCCTGTCACCTGATTTCTATGGGAAGTACCACCCCCAGGCCTCGATTCTTGAGAAATCAAAGCAAGGATTGAACCCAGCAGCAAGCATTCACATCAGCCCTTGAGCCCTAAAGAGCCAGGTAAGAAATCCGTTTCCCTTGATAAAGTGACTATGGGAGGGGATAAGGCATAACATGATCTTAAAGAGTAGAGATTCTGTTTTAACTCCAGGGCTTCTCTTGTCAGACTTCGTCATGGCATCTTGATTTAAG